TCTGTGTGTGTGTGTGTGTGTGTGTGCAGTGGCTGAGAGTGAGAGGCGACACATGTTGTTCGGCCGTCCACGGGTTCTGCAGTCTGACGCTAAATACTGTGTCCTGCATCAACACGGATTCATCACGGCCTACAGCACACTCACCCACACGCCCGTCTGGAGCTCCTTCACTCTCGACAAAACCGTGAGACGCACACACACACACACATACACATACACATACTGCAACAGTGGCATAGCAACACTCTAGCAACCAGCCAGGACATGCTAACATGTGACTCATGTCTTCAGCTGAACATGCTCAGATCTGGTTCTAATGACAAACTGAACGTGTGTTTGTAGGCTGAAAGTTCTCCGGTTGTCTCAGATTGTCTCCGGGCAGACATCAGAATTCCAGCCAATCAGAGCGCGACATGTGACCAGTTCAACAACGCTGGCAACATCACACACGTCTTCCTGTTCCCACCCAGTGAGTGTGTGTGTGCATGTGTGCTTAATTTATTGCAGTTAGTTGCCTATGCAACTTTTCACATTTTATGTATATTATTTTAATATTCATATTATATTAATATAGCTATAACTCTGGGATGTACTTAACAATACATAAGTAAAAATGTATTTAATAATTTTCTGAAAAAAATTATTTTTATTTAATTTTTCAGTTGCATTAAGCTGTAAAACATCCTCAGTGTTTTATTTATGCATATTAATTTCATTTATTTTTTCATGTATTTTTTTATTTGTTCATTAAGTAAAAATAAGTTCGAATATTTTTATAATATTTTATTATACTTTTAGTTAACAATAAAACCCAATAAAAAAGTGAAGTTGTGTGTGTTTAATGTGTTTGTGTTGTCAGATCTGAACCGCACATCTGAAGATCAGTTTGATGCTCTGACACTTGGAAACATGGTGCCCGTCTTCCTACAGTTCAAGAGTGAGTGTTTGAGTTGTGAGTTTATTATTAGTAAGTGTTTGTTTGTTTGTTTGTTTGTTTGTTTGTTTGTTTGTTTGTTTGTTGTTTATTTGTTTGTTTGTTTGTTTGTTTGTTTGTTTGGATCATGAGTGTTTTAATCGTGAGTGTTTGTTTGAGTTGTGAGTGTTTAAATATGGTGTTTTAAGTCATGAGTATTTGAGTCATGAGTGTTTGAGTCGTGAGTTTTTATATGTGGTTCGTGAGTCGTGAGTGTTTGAGTCATGAGTGTTTGAGTCGTGAGTGTTTATATGTGGTATATGAATCATTGAGTCATGAGTCATGAGTGTTTGAGTCGTCAGTGTTTATATGTGGTATATGAATTGTGAGTGTTTGAGTCATGAGTGTTTGAGTCGTAAGTTTTTATATGTGGTATATGAATCGTGAGTGAGTCATGAGTGTTTGAGTTGTAAGTTTTTATATGTGGTATATGAATCGTGAGTGTTTGAGTCACGAGTGTTTGAGTCGTGAGTGTTTATATATGGTATATGAATCGTGAGTGTTTGAGTCATGAGTGATTGAGTCGTGAGTTTTTATATGTGGTATATGCATCGTGAGTGTTTGAGTCATGAGTGATTGAGTCGTGAGTTTTTATATGTGGTATATGCATCGTGAGTGTTTGAGTCATGAGTGATTGAGTCGTGAGTTTTTATATGTGGTATATGCATCGTGAGTGTTTGAGTCATGAGTGATTGAGTCGTGAGTTTTTATATGTGGTATATGCATCGTGAGTGTTTGAGTCATGAGTGATTGAGTCGTGAGTTTTTATATGTGGTATATGCATCGTGAGTGTTTGAGTCATGAGTGATTGAGTCGTGAGTTTTTATATGTGGTATATGCATCGTGAGTGTTTGAGTCATGAGTATTTGAGTCATGAGTGTTTATATGTGGTATATGAATCGTGAGTGTTTGAGTCATGAGTGTTTATATATGGTATATGAATAGTGAGTGTTTGAGTCGTGAGTGTTTATATGTGGTATATGAATCGTGAATGTTTGAGTCATGAGTGTTTGAGTCATGAGTGTTTATATGTGGCATATGAATCGTGAGTGTTTGAGTCATGAGTGATTTAGTGGTGAGTTTTTATATGTGGTATAAGAATCGTGAATGTTTGAGTCATGAGTGTTTGAGTCGTCAGTGTTTATATGTGGTATATGAATCGTGAGTTTTTGAGTCATGAGTGATTGAGTCGTGAGTTTTTATATGTGGTATTTGAATCGTGAGTGTTTGAGTCATGAGTGATTTAGTGGTGAGTTTTTATATGTGGTATATGAATCGTGAGTGTTTGAGTCATGAGTGATTTAGTCGTGAGTTTTTATATGTGGTATATGAATTGTGAGTGTTTGAGTCATGAGTGATTTAGTGGTGAGTTTTTATATGTGGTATATGAATCGTGAGTGTTTGAGTCATGAGTGATTTAGTCGTGAGTTTTTATATGTGGTATATGAATCGTGAGTGTTTGAGTCATGAGTGATTTAGTCGTGAGTTTTTATATGTGGTATATGAATCGTGAGTGTTTGAGTCATGAGTGATTTAGTCGTGAGTTTTTATATGTGGTATATGAATCGTGAGTGTTTGAGTCATGAGTGATTTAGTCGTGAGTTTTTATATGTGGTATATGAATCGTGAGTGTTTGAGTCATGAGTGATTTAGTCGTGAGTTTTTATATGTGGTATTTTTATATGTGGTATATGAATCCTGAGTGTTTGAGTCGTGAGTTTTTATATGTGGTATATGAATCGTGAGTGTTTGCTTCATGAGTGTTTGAGTCGTGAGTTTTTATATGTGGTATATGAATCGTGAGTGTTTGAGTCATGAGTGATTTAGTCGTGAGTTTTTATATGTGGTATATGAATCTTGAATGTTTGAGTCATGAGTGATTTAGTGGTGAGTTTTTATATGTGGTATATGGATCGTGAATGTTTGAGTCATGAGTGTTTGAGTCGTCAATGTTTATATGTGGTATATGAATCGTGAGTTTTTGAGTCATGAGTGATTGAGTCGTGAGTTTTTATATGTGGTATATGAATCGTGAATGTTTGAGTCATGAGTGTTTGAGTCGTCAATGTTTATATGTGGTATATGAATCGTGAGTTTTTGAGTCATGAGTGATTGAGTCGTGAGTTTTTATATGTGGTATATGAATCGTGAATGTTTGAGTCATGAGTGTTTGAGTCGTCAATGTTTATATGTGGTATATGAATCGTGAGTTTTTGAGTCATGAGTGATTGAGTCGTGAGTTTTTATATGTGGTATATGAATCGTGAATGTTTGAGTCATGAGTGTTTGAGTCGTCAATGTTTATATGTGGTATATGAATCGTGAGTTTTTGAGTCATGAGTGATTGAGTCGTGAGTTTTTATATGTGGTATATGAATCGTGAATGTTTGAGTCATGAGTGTTTGAGTCGTCAATGTTTATATGTGGTATATGAATCGTGAGTTTTTGAGTCATGAGTGATTGAGTCGTGAGTTTTTATATGTGGTATATGAATCGTGAATGTTTGAGTCATGAGTGTTTGAGTCGTCAATGTTTATATGTGGTATATGAATCGTGAGTTTTTGAGTCATGAGTGATTGAGTCGTGAGTTTTTATATGTGGTATATGAATCGTGAATGTTTGAGTCATGAGTGTTTGAGTCGTCAATGTTTATATGTGGTATATGAATCGTGAGTTTTTGAGTCATGAGTGATTGAGTCGTGAGTTTTTATATGTGGTATATGAATCGTGAATGTTTGAGTCATGAGTGTTTGAGTCGTCAATGTTTATATGTGGTATATGAATCGTGAGTTTTTGAGTCATGAGTGATTGAGTCGTGAGTTTTTATATGTGGTATATGAATCGTGAATGTTTGAGTCATGAGTGTTTGAGTCGTCAATGTTTATATGTGGTATATGAATCGTGAGTTTTTGAGTCATGAGTGATTGAGTCGTGAGTTTTTATATGTGGTATATGAATCGTGAATGTTTGAGTCATGAGTGTTTGAGTCGTCAATGTTTATATGTGGTATATGAATCGTGAGTTTTTGAGTCATGAGTGATTGAGTCGTGAGTTTTTATATGTGGTATATGAATCGTGAGTATTTCAGTCATGAGTGATTGAGTCGTGAGTTTTTATATGTGGTATATGAATCGTGAGTGTTTGAGACATGAGTGTTTGAGTCGTGAGTTTTTATACGTGGTATATGAATCGTGAGTGTTTGGGACATGAATGTTTGAGTCATTAGTGTTTATATGTGGTATATGAATCGTGAGTGTTTGAGTCGTGAGTTTTTATGTGGTATATGAATCGTGAGTGTTTGTGTCGTGAGTTTTTGAGTCGTGAATTTTTATATGTGGTATATGAATCGTGAGTGTTTGAGTCGTGAGTTTTTATGTGGTATATGAATCGTGAGTGTTTGTGTCGTGAGTTTTTGAGTCGTGAATTTTTATATGTGGTATATGAATCGTGAGTGTTTGAGTCGTGAGTTTTTATATGTAGTATATGAATCGTGTGTGAGTAATGAGTGTTTGTGTCGTGAGTTTTTATATGTGGTATATGAATCGTGAGTGTTTTACATGTGGTATATGAATCGTGAATGTTTGAGTCATGAGTGTTTGAGTCATGAGTGTTTATATATGGCATATGAATCATGAGTGTTTGAGTCATGAGTGTTTATATATGGTATATGATTCATGAGTGTTTGAGTCATGAGTGTTTATATATGGAATATGAATCGTGAGTGTTTGAGTCGTGAGTGTTTATATGTGGTATATGAATCGTGAGTGTTTGAGTCGTGAGTTTTTATATGTGGTATATGAATCGTGAGTGTTTGAGTCGTGAGTTTTTATATGTGGTATATGAATCGTGAGTGTTTGAGTCGTGAGTTTTTATATGTGGTATATGAATCGTGAGTGTTTGAGTCGTGAGTTTTTATATGTGGTATATGAATCGTGAGTGTTTGAGTCATGAGTGATTGAGTTGTGAGTTTTTATATGTGGTATATGAATCTTGAGTGTTTGAGTCATGAGTGTTTGAGTCATGAGTGTTTATATATGGCATATGAATCATGAGTGTTTGAGTCATGAGTGTTCATATATGGTATATGATTCATGAGTGTTTGAGTCATGAGTGTTTATATATGGCATATGAATCATGAGTGTTTGAGTCATGAGTGTTCATATATGGTATATGATTCATGAGTGTTTGAGTCATGAGTGTTTATATATGGAATATGAATCGTGAGTGTTTGAGTCGTGAGTGTTTATATGTGGTATATGAATCGTGAGTGTCTGAGATAATGAGTGTTTGAGTCTTGAGCTTTTATTTGTGGTATATGAATCGTGAGTGTTTGAACCATGTGTGTTTGATTCGTAAATGTTAGATTACTAGGTATTTGTTTGAATTGTGAGTGTTTATATGTTGTGAATGAATTGTGAGAGTTTTGAGTATTTGAATCATGAGTGTTTATATATGGTGTAGGAACCATGTGTGTTTGAATCATGAGTGTTTGAATGCTAAGTGTTTGTTTGAATTGTGAGTATTTGAATCATGAGTGTTTAAATGTTGTGAATGAATTGTGAGAGTATTGAGTGTTTGAATCAGGAGTGTTTGAGTTACAAGTGTTTGAGCCGTGAACCTTTGAGTCATGAGTATTTGAATCGTGAGTGTCTACATGATGTTTTCATGTGGATTTGGTCACTGATCGTGTGTGTTTGTGCAGGACTCTGGCAGTATTTTCAGGAGGTTCTGCTGCTCAAATACGCATCTCAGTATAACGGTATTAACGTGGTTACCGGCCCAGTGTATGACTACAACTTTGATGGACGCTTTGACTCTCCAGAGCAGATCCAGGAGTGCGTACTCCTTTTTTCTTGATTCTCCCACTCTACATTTTATTCTTTTTCCATAATCTGTTACTCTACAGTGTGATTTTGGTATTATATATA